CCATAAGGGTGTGGTGCCACCCTGTTCTGTGTCTGCATGCCTCCTACCAGTCTGTATGGATGTGGTTTCTTCAATTTCCTTGTTGTAAGAGTTCCATTCAACTTGACTTCTGAGGTTCCTGAGTTATGGTTGTTCTATATTTTTGCTATAATTTTGATGTGGTTGTACAAAGAAGCAAGCCATACCTGCCTATGTTGCCATCTTGACCAGAAGCCCCTGCCTTTTACATTTACTTCCATTATCTGGGGTGCTCTTCCCCAAGACACCCATGTAGTTAAATCTCTCACCCCTCTGCCTTTATCCAAAAGTTACCTTATTGAAGAGGCCTTCTCTAAATACCTTATATAAGAGTATACCCTCTCTGCTCACTCTCTATCCCTCTTACCTTGCTTCCCCCACCATACCATGTCTAATTATTGTTATATATTTGGATCTATGTTTATCTTCCTTCAATGAAATAGAATTATATACATATCTTGTCAATTCTAAGGGAATCCTTGCAGTTTCATGTCTGCCTCCTTGTTTAAATGTTAGAGAGTAGAGGCCAGGGGCTGTGTCCTCTTTACCTCTGTATTCCCAGCACTTGACTTAGGGCCTCGAACTTCACAGGTGATCTATGAACATTTTTAAATGAATAAATTTAAAGTGTGATCTCTTTTAATCTTCCATTCTGACTATTTTGACCTTCATTAATTAACTACTACAAGATCACATTGCAGTTAGAGCCTAAACCACATAACTAGCACTTGTTACTAAACTATGTTATTCACTTATTATTTTAGATTCTTAACTATTTTGCTACCTTGTGTTCCATCTGATTCAGACCTAGTAGTGTAATTGACATAGTGTCAACCTCTGATCAGCGTCCCCCCGCCACCCCCCCCCCGTCTTCCCTGGGCAACACTGGAGATACAATATCAAATGCCAATCTTTTTTTTTCCTTAACCCCATATATATCCTTTTGCTCCCACCTCCTCTACAAACACCCTGGCACCATAATAGCAGGGGTCGGAGATGATACTTTCCCTCCAAACCTATCTTTTCATCATACTTTCTGCTGAATGTCCTCACCAGCTCTTTCATTGGTTGATTAATTAATTCATTCAACAAAGATTAACTAAATGCCTTCTGTATGCCAGGCACTGTGCTAAATACCAAGCAAAAACAAAACAGGACATACAAGGTCTCTTCCTTCTGTGGAGTTTACACTGGAGGAAATAAAATTAAAATGTAAATAAATGTATATCTTAAGTTGAAAAGTGGTAAGTGATATTGAGGTATTTGGTACTAAGAGACTAGCAAGCAGGGATCTTATTTGGATAGGATAGTTAGGACCAGAGGGGATATTTATTTAATTTAAAAAATATTTTATTTATCTATTTTTACATAGTGAGGAAAGGAGGGAGAGGAATATCAATCACTGGCAACCTTTCGGTCTGCAGGGCGGTGCTCAATCCACTGAACCATACCAGCCAGGGCAGGAGGGGATATTTAAATTACAGTCTAAAAGAAAGGAAAGCTGAGCCCTGGCTGGGAAGCTCAGTTGGTTTGAGCATTGCCCTGATACACCAAGGTTGCGGGTTTCATCCCTGGTCAGGGTACATACAAGAAGCAGCCAATGAATGAATTAATATGTGGAATAACGAATTGATCTCTCTCTCTCTCTCTCTCTCATCAATAAATTTAAAGTTTTTTAAAAATAAAAGACAGGCAAGCTAGCTATCTATACAAAGAAGATGGGGAGAAGCACGGATCTGGACAAATGGAACAGCATCTACAAAGGCGCAGAGGCAGCAACGAGCTTTCTGTGGTGAGCAAGGCAGAATCGCAGGAGGCATGACAGGAGAAGTAGAGGCGGGCAGAGCAGTAAGAGCCTTATAAGGCAGTGTAAGAGAAGTAATTGATCCAATTCATGCTCTAAGATGAATCCATTTTATTAAAAGTTAGTCCGACTGCTGTGAGACTAATTGAATGGGAGTAAAAGAATGGAGTTGTTGTTGTAACCCAGGCCAGTTATCGCCCACAATAAAGTGCTTGTAGTGGAGACAGTAGACTCACTAATGCAAGTTAAAATTTTGACTTTTGACATCTCTTTTACTTCTGCTACCAACATGCACTCAATCACAAAATCTTACAGGTTCCAACCTTTACACTTCCTCACACATGATTTCTTACTTCTCTGTTCCCACTGACCCAAAGCAGGTCCCTGTAACCTCTCACCTGCATGACTGGAGCAGCCTCATCGCTGATCTCAGCTTTCAGTCTTGACTTGTTCCAGTACAACCCACAGAATGGCGCCAGAGCAAACTTTCAAAAACATGACTCTGACCATGCACCTGTTCTGCTCAAAATCCCCCAAAGTCTGAATGGTTTGGGAGCCAAGGTTCCTGAGAGTTCAGCCCAAATCTATCTGGTCAAACATGCTTTTCCTATCTCTGTTCCTTTTCATGTGTTATTCTCTCAGTATAATACATCATCCTTTTTGGATATTAATCTCCATTTTACATATACACAATGGAAACTTTGAGTTCCTAATCATATTAGAACCATAGTCTCAAGCTCGAAATTGTACTCTTAACTATTATAATCTATTTAGAAATGCAGCATTAAAATTCACATATAGAATAATAAGTGGTTATATGGGAAAGTGCCCAGATTAAATAATTAAGATTTAAATTTTAAATGTATGTATAGTATGATTATAATCTTATAAAATTGGTTATATTTGTGAGGTATAATTGGGGGTGATTTTTGTTTACATTTTATTTTTCTGGTTTTCCCACATTTTTTACAATTACTATGTATTACTTTTATAACAACAGTAATCACTAAAATGATTAAGGGGAAATATCTCATGTATCCTTTAAGGCTCTTCTCAAACTTTGGCATCTCCTGCCTCTCCTCACCCCAATCACCACTTTGTACTTCCTCTCCCCCTACCTTCTTTAATAGTTGTGACTAACACATCTCCTTGCCAAACTGAGAGGTCCTTGAGTGATGACACTATGTCTTGCTTGTTGTCACATTCCTCTATTCCCAGTTATTTTACAGTATGTTGCTGGAGCCAGAAGGAATCATATTTTAGGTTTTTAAAAGACTGACTAAAATGCCAGAAATATCAGGAAAGAAAGGCTATCCAGGTAAGAGCGATAGAGTAATCTTGAGGAGCCCAGTGAAGTGCCTCAGGCTACCTATTAACCCAAACTGAGTTCAAAAGTAGGTGAGGGAACATACACTAGAACAACAGGATTCTCTATCTCAGATCGGTGGACTCTGAAAATTCTTCTACCCCTTGAGGACAAAAATGTACCTAAGAGTCCTTCATGTTATGAATTATCACTTGTTCATACGTACTGAGCACCTATTGCGTGTCGGGCATTGGCAGTAGGTTCGAGAGGGGGAAAGGCAGGTAGGGTTCTCAATCTCAGAAAGCTTCCAGAATGTCTGTTGAGGAAGAGGTTATATAAATAAACATATATACAGTGCTACATTGGTACCCATCATTAATTCTTTCCGGAACTTGTGACAAGTTCTGGAACAAGTGACAAGCACTGAAAGTGATGAACACCAAAGGATGAAGCATTTTCTATGGTGGCGCGGCATCATGACTCATACAAGTTCTAGCAAATGCCATGAGTCTCCAGCAAGCACCGAGAGCTGAAACTTTTTTTTCACAACAGAATGTGTCGAGAGCAGGGTTTGATGAGTTCTGAAGCCAACACGTACCAAGGTATGGCTGAACTTAGTTGTGCAATTATAAGCAAGATACTTCCAAGGATAAGGAAGATTGTACAGGTGGTGGAGAAATCTGTAAAAGACTTAACCAAGTCTGACAGAGAGGCTTTGATGAGAGAGGGCTCTGTGTGCTGAAATCTGAAGAGTGTCCAGGAGTTAGCTAAGTGGAAAGAGGCCTGGAGAAACTTTTCTCACAGAAGGAATGTTAAGTGAGAAGGGAGGAGGCATAGAGTGAGGCATTTCCTGAGACTGGAGCAGAAAGGGGAAAATCCATCAGAGCCAGTTATAGGTCTTGTTGGGAATCTGTTGAATAATGTGATTCAGTCTTTGAACAGCTCCTCCTGCCCCCATCACTTAGAATCCTAGGCTTGAAAGTTTGGGTGAAAAAGGAGTTCTACTGAAAGTAATTTCACAGGGTGATGTAATCATAAATTCCTAACTGGGAAGGTCATGGTGGGTAGTCACGCCCCAGGCACATAGCCTCTTTAGTATAAGGTTTATTCTTTGCCTTATACAAGTCCATTGTTCTTGTGCATTTGCTTAACACACTTTTAAAATGCCAGAATAATCTTTCTTCTTTCAGACACCTAGGAGGCGTAGGCACTCTGAAAAGAGCACGGAATCTTGTTAACCACATTGTAGTCCGATTCTTACCTTGCTTTCTCCCAGCTCATTTAATCTTCCTTATGTTCCCTTCTTAATTCCAAATTCATGAAAGAAACTGTGACCTGTCATTCTAGAAGGCATTTTTTCCTCAGTGTGTTGAGAACTTGCTTCCAGTTGTATCCTGTTTGGCTCAAATAAATTTACATTAAAATACAGGTTTGGACTTTGTTAAAAGAGCAATCTTAGAAGTACTGTCATCGCACCTTCCATTCAAGGCACCCAAATATTCCTACTTACACACATTCAAGGAAGGTACCCTAACACTAATCTATACGCAATGAACTGCGGAGCCAAGACAGTCTTGTTAAAGCTCGATACCCAGCATCCAACGTGTTATCTGGCACTTAGCTACATTTTGTTAAGTCACTTGTGGATTCCAGAAACAGGTGTACTTTGAAAGTGTATTCTTTAAAAATGATGTCATGGATAATTTTCCCAAGTTAGAGACCCGTGTTTGCCTCCCTGCTGAGGCCCGTGGGCCCCTGAAGCCCCTTCAGGCAGGCGTGGGGAGGCCCGGCTGCGGGGAGGCAAGCCGCCGCCCGCAGGGGCGTGCTCAGCCTGGAGTTTGGCGGCGGAACCCGTAGGAGGCGGAACTTCGGCCGCGCGGAGCCACAGTCCTGCGGACACTCAAGAGTGAAGCACCCTCCGGTCGGGAAGGAGCTGACGCGGGTTGGGCCCCGGCAGCCATCAGCCATCGCGCTTTGAGGTTCGGTTTCGACGCCAAGGAATTGCATTCTCTCTAATCGCAGGTGAGTGACGGCTTCTCCTCCCGGGAGAACCGGCGGGCAGCAGCTGTGGATCCCTAGGAGGGTGCGCTTTTTGGGGCTTAGGCCTACCCAGCGTCCCTGGCTGTGGCAGGGCGGCCCTTTCCCGCCCCGGAATCAGGCGGCGCGAGGCAGGATGGGTTCTCTTTCTGATGTGTGGGGCCGGGGCCACTCTGATGGTCCCCTGGGCAGGACATTGTTGCTGTCAGACGGTGGGTTATTTCGGGAAGAATGAGATGACTCTAAACTGCAGGCAAACCCTCCCTTCCCCTTGGCCTCAGTTTCTTCCCCAGATAAGGTGAAGGCGGCGGGAATCTTTGACAGCTTAAGAGGTTGTGACATGGTGTGTTGTTTTCAGGTCTCCCAATTAGTGTACGGGCAAACTGAGCTTTTTTACTAAAAGTAGTCAACGTCTTGTCATAGCCCAACTCCCATTTTAGTGAGAAAAAGATACATTACTGTGGGAAACTGTAATGATTAATGATTTATAAGCTGTTCCAAGATTTTACAAGATAGGAATTTGTTTTGACAGCAGCGAAAACTGACATCGTTGGCTAAAAGAGCCAAACTCCTCAGAAATTTAAGGTGTTTGGTACATGGGGCAAAAGGAGGTGAAGTTCGAAATCCTTTTATCTTGAAAAATTAAGACTAGAGCTATTTGGATGTTTTTTATATCAAGATCTGTATTACCACATGCCTTACTCTGAAGAATGTTCTCTGTTCAGTGCTAAGTATCAGTTAAGAGTAAGTCGCATTGAAACAAATGAAAGAAAAGGAAAGGAACATTTATTGACTACTATGTGTAAGGCACTATGCGCACAACAATCCACTAAGGAAGGCGGTAGTATCACTTCTATTTTAGAGATGAGGAATAAAGGAAGCCTTACAATTTGGCAGTCATTAGTGGTGCTGATGTGTCAAAGCAATTTGTAATATATGTAATACAAATAGTGGATTTCCATTCCTTACCAGAATATTTTGAACTTTAAAAACTTTAAGATTATATAGTTGATTGGCATTTCTTGAGTTTGCAGAAAAGGAAGGTATTGCCTTTATTTTAGAAATGTTAGGGAAGTGTTTTTCAATAATTATGAATATTAGTTTAAATAAGGTACACTTTAACCTGCCTTTTCTTGCATTTCAAGCAAGAATGGAGACAAAAGATTAGGCTATCAGAAATAAGAATCACTGCCCTATCACTCGAAGCTTACAAATCAGAATTCTATAGTAATGATTCATTATTTCTCCACCCTCTTCTCTTGACTGAAACTCATTTAGATTATTTCTGCAAAACATTACTAAGCAAATCATTTTAAAATCAGTGTTGAAAAGTTTCTCTTCCTTGTGCATAGCTTTTAGAACTTCAGTTAAAAGTATTTAAAGGATTGAATGTCATTGCTTATCTCAGTTTTTATTTTCATAATTTAGTATAGGCAAGTTCAGTATTCAGACTCACAACTTTTTTCATTAGAGTTCTCTCCCCCCTTTTTTTCACTCTTAAAAAATCCTACTTTTTATTGTTGTCACAGATTTAACTGTCTTTCAATCAAGTATCACTTTTCCCCATAGGAAACATGAGTATGTACTTTTTGTTAATTACATGAGCAAAAAGGGTCTCCTTACATTATTGTTATTGCTATGCATTCAATGCTAAAGTGTTTTCTTGAGTTTATTTGCAACACTGCTTCAAAACTTTAAAATCTATAGAAAGAAAATCTAACAATTTTAGGGGAGAATATTTATAAAGCAGCAGTGTCTTGAACATTGAACATGGTTACTGTCCATCCGTAGGAATGCACAGGGCCTTGCTGAAATTCTGCAAAACATGCTCAAGAAGCTTCTTTTTGGCCTCTTTTTAAAGAAATTTTTATTTACTGATTTTTTTTTTAGAAAAAGAAACATTGATTTGTTGTTCCATTCATTTATGCATTCGTTGGTTGATTGTTTTATGTGCCCTGACCAGGGATTGAACCCACAACCTTGGAATATGGGGATGACACTCTAACCAACTGAGTTGCCCAGCCAGGGCCAGATTTTGACGTTTTTTATATTTCTAGTATTTCAGTTCGAGAGAGTGGTGTGTATAATTCCTAAGTTAGCTTACAGATAGTATACTCATCTTATGGATTTTGTGCATGTTTTAGTCATAAATCTGATACTGTTATGTAGAAAATTATGATTACTCTTTTAGTAAAACTTCCTTTTTATAACTTGGAGTTTAAAGAAACTAGTGCCTTTTCCAGTGACAGTCAATGACAGTGTTGTTAATATTTAAAGTAAAATCAGAATATCATTAAAAAAAACTTTTTCATATTAAAAGTTGTTAACATTGACGTTAATTTGAAAATTGGTATTTAAAGTTTTGTGCATTGAATTTAATCTGAATGAGTTAATCCTACCTTATATTGTAGAGTATTCAAGGGGTTTTCAGGTCTGTTGGCATATTTAATGATTCTTACAACTCTGTGAAGCAGGTGGTAGCCCCGCTACATGTAGGAGGAAACTAGGCTCAGAGACTGGCTTTCCCAGAATGAAGTATTGGTATCAATATTGCAAAAGATGCACATTAAGTCCATATTTTTTAAATTCCAGAATATGTACTCTATCCATTTTACCACAGCTCTACCATCCTTTATTTCCCAATTTATTATTATTAATTGTGTAATCCACTCTGATATTATAGTTGTCTCTTTAGAGTGCCATAGCTTTTAGTTTCTTCCAGCCGTACTTTTTGTAGTATTTGTATCTTGTTGTAGTATGTGTATTTTTTCCCTTCAAGTTCATACCTAAATGGTTCTGCCTAATTACTTATATAAATTTATTGAAATATTAAAAGGCCATGTAAATTTGTAAATTTGACTTTAATTTTTTTATAATAGCTTTATTGAGATCATAGGTTACAAAATTTACCCTTATACCTACAGAGCAGTGTTTTTAGTATATTCTCAATGTTGTGCAACCATCATTACTATGTAGTTCCGGAACATTTTATCCCCCTCAGAAGAAACCTAGTACTCATTAGCAATCACTGCTGATTTCCCCTTTCCCTCCTTTCTGACAAACATTAATCTACTCATTACAAGGATTTGCCTGTTCTGGACATTTCATATAAATGGAATTATCCATATAAGTTTAATGGAACAAGACTTGAAAAAGTTATTTTTAACCTGAGAGGTTCTGTTCCATTACACCCTTTGCACTGATTTTCATGTTACTTGAGTAGATCACTTTTTTAACCTGCATAGGGCCTTTTCCTGTTTGGTGTTCATGCAATAAATAAATCTGCTGACGTGTATATGTTTCCTTGTTCTTGACCTTTGCTCTTCACATGTCTTAATAGGGTGTTTATGGTGTTGCGTAACCTGTTCTCAGGGCTCAGGTATCTGTTTGTGGCTAAGTAATTTTTATTCTTAGTTGGGCATTTTTACCTCTCTTTTAAGATGACTAATGATAACTTCTAGTTTGTTTTAAGGTTCCTAGAAACCACAAGTTTATAGAAATATGTGTATCTCATTATCTTTTAAAGCAGAGTTTTCCCATATAGGTTACTAAATTCTCTTTCTCTTGGGACAAGTTTTATAGCAGTAAATAGCTACCATCCTTATGCAAAATAAATCCTTTGTCCTTCAAGGCTTACCCCATTCTACCCTCCTTATAGCTCTCACCTACCAACAGTCGTCTTCAGTGAGGACTTGGCCACTTGGTCCAGTCTGGGGTTCTACAGCAAAGCCCTCCTTTCTTCTAGGTGATCCCACTGCCCATCAGTGTGGACAGTGTATTACATCGGTTAACTTCCCGCATCTTCCACCTCCAGCTCTCTCCGGCCGTCTGTGCCAGAGCCAGGCCTTGGAGCTTGCCATCGCCCGGGCCTGATCCTCTCTTGAATTTTTGAACCCCACCTTCTCCTCCACTTTGCTGGCACAGTCGTGGCCCACCTTTCCCTTCTCGCACCCCTTTACTACATCTGTGCCTGCTTTCCCACTAAAAGCTTTCCCCCTTTTCTCCCAGGTCTGTATTGTGAGAGCCCCACCGTCGATCCCCATCCTTTCCCCCATTTTGATCAGATCACTTTAACACCCTCTCTCCTTGTCTTTTTTTTTTTTTTTGTAATTCCTGTTCTGGAAGTCCCTAATTCTTGTTTACTCAATATTCTCTAAAGTTAAGCATTGCTGGAGTGAGGGTGGAGAGGAGAGGGGGAGACTGGAAATCAGTGCAGGCTGGCACTGCTCCGAAGGCGTCAATTTCTCTACACTCCTCCTCACTTTTGGAGTCAGCTTCTATGACCTCCACTATACATTCCTGGCCTGCTTCCTTGTAATCTTGGAAGAAGAGATGTGCTCTCAGTCCAGGTTCTTCTTGAAACTTTGCCCTTTTTGGTTAACTCCTTCCTTCTCTTTCTGTCTCATATTTAACCTCTTCCCTTCAATTTATCAACATACTTGAGCCTCACCCTTCCTTAAGAGGAAAATCTCATTTCCTTCGTTTCACTTAGCTTCTTCTGAAAGAGGAATCTCTGCTCACTGCCTCTATTAACCTCCCGTCCCATTCACTTCTCAATGACAGCAAGTAGGTATTAAGTACTGACTGTGTGCATTGTATCTTATATGATCTTAACAATCCCTGAGAGGCTTTGCAGAAGAAACTTGTATCTCGTTCAAGGTCACTTAATTAATGAATTGTGCAGACAGGCTCTGCTGTGCTTTAAGTGCTGGTCACAGGCTGTCCTGTGCTGCCGCGCCACCACAGGCTGCTCATGCTCTCAACATTTGTCTCCTTTGTCACCAAAGCCAGCTGTGATATCTCTGCAGCGATATAGGATGGGGCTAACTTATTTCCTTTCCAGCTTTGCCACCGTCTTTTCTAGTTCTACCCTCAGGGGTTCCACTGGGTCTTCCACCTCTATCTGTCCTTTAAAGACTATCTCAGGTGATGACTCATTTCTTCTAGAGCATTTGGCTGGGGCTTAGGGGTAGGAGGACTTTAGGCAGAGATGGTGGGAGAACATTCTGATGTTGAGAAGGACAATGCATAGAGGTGTAAGGTGGTACAATACAGGTCACCGGCAGTGAATGGCAAGCGGTTTACTTAGGCCCAGGAAAAGCTACAAGTGGGGAAGTAAATGTGTATTAAGCTTGGAAAGATAGCTAGAAAGTAGACAGTGGCAGTTCTGGAATAATGGACTAGGAGTCTGACTGAATCATTTTTGAGCTTACAAACTTCCAGTGGCTCTTCTTTCACATGTATTGGGTGACCACATAATTTCACACCTAAATCAGGACCCTTTTGAGAGTGAAAAGAGGCAGTATTAGTAATTAGACTGAGGTAACTGCTGAGACTGTCCCCAGCAAACTGGGAGTTATAGTCACCCTGACTATACCAAAAGTCAAGTCCAAGACCGCGTTTTTTAAAAATTGTTGAGAGAGAAGCACCGATTCTCTCTCTTGCGTACAGGTTGCCCCTTGTACGCAGCCAGACCAGGGGTCACACGTGCCCAGGCTGGGGAATGAACCTGCAACCTAGGCACGTGCCCTGACATGGAATCTAATTTGCAACGCTTTGGTTATGGAATGACGCTCCAAACAACTGAGCCACACCAGCCTGTGCCAACGTGACATTTTTTTTTATCCTCACCCGAGGACATGCTTATTAATTTTAGAGAGAGAGGGGAAGAGAGGGAGAGAGAGAAGGAGAGGAGCACCAAATGAGAGAGAAACCTTGATTGGTTGCCTCTCGCATGCACCCCAACTGGGACTGAACCCACAATCTAGTCATATGCCCTGACCAGGATTTGAACCAGTGACTTTTCACTTTGTGGAACAATGTCCAACCGACTGAACCACACCAGTCAGGGATTCTGTATTGCTTCTTAGGTCCGTATATATAGGTATCAAGCATGGAAAACCAAATGTCTATGTTTGTCTTAGATTTGTTTATCGCTTTGGCTTGTGCCTCACTAATTAGAATTCATTGGTTTTTACTCTCAGTTTGCAGGTCCCTAACCTCAATCATATTATCTAACATACCAGATTTTTTGCTGTCCCCTTTTATTTTGTGCCTCTGCACACAATATAACCTTCACAAAATTTAGCAAACTCTTACTCAGTCTTCAAGATTTGGACTAAACATTGCCCAAGAAACCTTTCCTTAGTTGCATCTTGTTGCCATAGAACTATGGGAATAGGACTTTGGATTTAGAGACAAGCAGGACTTGTGAACATACAAGGTCTGTCCACAAGGGGACCCAGTCATATAATATGAAAAATAGAAACATTTATTGAGGAAGATACAAGAAACAAGAAACATTGTGCAAAGCACAATGACACCTTAGTCCCCTTCAAAGTAGACACCTTGGGACCTCACACAGTTCTCCCAATCGCCATCAGCTGCCTCATCACATTTTCCTGAGTTTCATTGATGGGCTGAAATCTCTTCCCTTTCAAAGGTGATTTCAGTTTTGGGAGAGGCCAGAAGTTGCAGGGACCAAATCTGGGCTGTTGGGGGGCTGAGTCACCTGGGTTATTTGATATTTTGCCAAAAAACTGCACAAGACATGATGTGTGAGTGGGCGCGTTGTTGTGATGAAGCTGCCAGTCACCAGCTGCCCATAGCTGCGGCCTTCTGAACCATCCAGGTAGTTTTGGTGGAGGAACATTCAAGTTTAATGCAAAATCTGATGTAGATTTGTTGCTCTACTCAGTCATTTTGAATGCGACAGCCACACAGTGCACATGTTCACTCAACAGCATCTACCGCTCCCACTGACTAGTCCAGCAATGTGGTCGTTGTTCAGGCATGCGCAGTCCTTGGCTGCCAGGTTACATAGGTGTCTTGCAAACCATTCTCTTTTATATTAACAATGGCTGCACTTTTTCCAGACAGACAACCACCTACAATTTTTGATTTCTATTTGATCTAGAATGGTAATAGTAGGAGGAGGTGTAATTTTCAACTTAAGTAAAACAGAAACTAAGATATTAGATTTTTGTGTATATATATTGCTGTTGTAGATCTCATTCTTGCGATCCTGACTCATGAAACTTCATAATTTGCCAGTTACTCTCTTAATCAGGAACTATCTGGTTGCAAGAACAAAATTCTGCTCACGCCAGTTCAAGTAAGGGTGGGAGGCTATTGCCAGGATCCAAGGAATCTCCTAGTAGGCACTGCTAGGCACGAACTGGAGGTAGGCTGTCTCTGTTCTCTGTCTCCTACTCTTACGGCGAGGTATCTCTCCACGCTTTACCCTCTAGGAATTCTGAGTTTGGTGGGCCTGTGTCATACTCGGCAGCCCACAGGAATGAAAAGTGGTCAAGGAACGCAATGTTGTGTGTCATACTCTGTCTAAAAAATGTCAAAGATAATTACAACCCTTCAGACTTTTTTGGATTTGGCCCAAGTTTGGGGCCTGGGTTTTTTTGTTCAGCTCTAGAAAATGAACTCTATTGATCTGAAAGTATATTTTATATACAGTATGTGATCTTTTTTCAAGAAGCTTCTGTCTCTTAATTTTCATGTTAACACTATTAGTTTATCAAGCACATGTCAATTAAATGCTGAGTTGAACTACACACTGCACTTTCTACTGTGACTTAAGATTTTTTAAAAATTTTTATTCAGTGATATGATTAAAATTTGAAAAATGCAAAAAGATAAACCCAGAAATGTACCATTTGGTACCAACGGCTTCAGAAGACCAAAAGAAATAGAAAAAGGGTTTTTACTCCATTAGGTATATCTGGCCTTTGAAACTTTATTATCATTAACTTTCTTCTCTTCTCCCTGCCCTTCTTCCCTGTCTCTACTGGTTTGGTAAATATTCCATAGGTCATATATAATTATTTTGAACTAGATTACTTCCAAATTTTTCTTACATAATACTTTGATACACATCTTTATATATAAAGCTTTTCAATATTTAGGACAATTTCTAAAAGTAGAATTCTTGGGTCAAATGGTATCAACAGATACATTATTGCCAAACTGGTTTTGAGAAATATTTATCCTGCCACCAAAAGATATTTATACTGTCACTGACAACGCCTCTTTACTGCACCTTTTCTGGGCCTGGCTGTTACCGTTCTTTTTCATGTCAGTTACTTGGATGGACAAAAAGTGGTCTCTTCTTGGTATTTTAATGGCATTTTGTATTTTATGCATCAGTATAGATCAGGTTAGACCAGTCTGGATAAGAGTGTTTAATTCTCTATGGTAAGATTGCTGTAGAGTTATTTACTCAAGAGTTGGTTAATGTTGTTGGTGTTTAATGTATATTCGCATTTAATGTTGATTACTAAATTCAAAACACTTTTTTTGCAGACCCTGTAAGATTTGGATATGTCCTTTATATTTGACTGGATTTACAGTGGTTTCAGCAGTGTGCTACAGTTTTTAGGTAATGTTGACTCCTTTATTCCGATTATCCATTTAAACCTAGTTACATAAAAGTACTTATTTGTGTAGAGCCACTTTATAATATACACAGTAGTTACAAACGTGGGCTTTGCAATTGTATAAACATGTTTAATGAGTTATTGTATCTTTCTCCTTCTCTAAAAATATTGAATAAATAATAAAATCTTTTTTTTTTAAGAAAAAAAAGAAATGAGCAATCAAGCCATGAAAAGACATGAAGGACCCTTAGGTGCCTATGTAAGAGCTATAGTATGTAAGAGCTACATACTATAAGATTTCAACTATATGACATTCTAGAAAAGGCAAAAATATGGAGACAAAAAAAAATCAGTGGTTGCTGGACAGTGGGGATGGAGTAAGGGTAGGAAGAGCAGGAGAAGCACAGGAGATTTTTAGAGGATTGAAAATACTTTCTTTAAGATTGTAATGATGGATAATAGTGTCATTACATAAATATATTATAAAGGTGCAGTGACAAAAGTGTGCCATTATACCTTCATCCAGACACAGAATGTACTACACCAAGAGTGAGCCCTAAGATAAACTGTGGGTGATTATGATATGTCAATATAGGTTTATCCTTTGTTAAAAAGATACCATTTAGGTGAGTGATATTGATAATGTGTGGGGGGTGGGGGTACATGGGCAATTTTTGCCTTTCTGTCAATTTTGTTGTAAATCTAAAACTCCTCTTTTAAAAAAAAAAAAAAGGCTCTGAAGAAAAATTATAAAACTTGGAAGTCGGACTTCCGGCCAAGATGGAGGTATAGGTGGAAACACTTTGCCTCCTTGCACAACCAAAAGAAGGACAAATTTTAGAACAAAAAGTAGCCAGAATTGCCAGCAAATCGAACTGTATGGAAGTCCGACAACAAAGGAGCTAAAGAAGAAATATTCATCCAGACTGGTAAGAGGAGCAGAGGTGGGCGCCTGGGCGGAGAGGACACACAGCAAGGCTGCAGCTGGCAGACCAGGCCGTCCCATATTTGCATGCGGATAAACTGTGAGGAGCAGCTGGGGAGCGGGCTAGACGGTGCAAACCAGGGTTCCAGTGCAGGAAAAGAAAGCCTCAAAACCTCTGGAGGTAAAAACCTGTGGGGGTTGTGGCAGCAGGAGAAACTCCCAGCCTCACAGGAGAGTCCCACAGGGTCCTAGAATGTACACAAACCCGCCCACCCAGGAATCAGCACTAGAAGGGCCCAATTTGCTTGTGGGTAGCGGGGAAGTGACAGAAAGCTGGCTGAGAGCTGAGCAAGGTGCCTTGTTTCCTCTCAGGCCCCTCCCCAACACACAATGTCACAAGGCAGCTACCTGGGTTCCTCCCCTAACCCTCCACCCCAGCGAATACCTAAGGCTCTGCCCCTTCCAACGTAACAGGCCTGCAGAGACAGAAATATGGCCCAAATGAAAGAACAGATCAAAGTTCCCAAAATAGAACTAAGCGATGAACAGATAGCCAACCTATCAGATACACAGTTCAAAACAGTGGTAATCTGGATGCTCACTGAATTGGTTGAGTACAGTTGGAGGATGGAAGAAAAAGTAAAGGCCACGCAAAGTGAAACAAAGAAAAATATACAGGGAACCAAGAGTAAAGGGAAGGAAACCGGGACTCAAATCAACGATTGGGAGCAGAAGGAAAAGATAAACATTCAACCAGAACAGAATGAAGAAACTAGAATTCAAAAAAACAAGGAGAGGCTTAGGAACCTCTGGGACAACTTTAAACATTCCAACATCCGAATTATAGGGGTGCCAGAAGGAGAAAAGGAAGAGCAAGAAACTGAAAACTTATTTGAAAAAATGAAGGAGAACTTTCCTAATCTGGCCAAGGAAACAGACTTCCAGGAGATCCAGGAAGCTCAGAGGGTCCCAAAGAAGTTGGACCCAAGGAAGCACATGCCAAGGCACATCATAATCACATTACCCAAGATTAAAGATTAAAGACAAGGAGAGAACCTTAAAAGCAGCAAGAGAAAAGGAGACAGTTGCCTACAAAGGAGTTCCCATAAGACTATCAGCTTATTTCCAAAAGAAATCTTGCAGGCAAGAAGGGGCTGGCAAGAAGTATTCAAAGTCATGAAAGGCAAGGACCTACATCCAAGATTCCTCTATCCAGCAAAGCTCTATCATTTAGAATGGAGGGGAGGATAAAGTGCTTCCCAGACAAGGTAAAGTTAAAGGAGTTCATCATCACCAAGCCTTTATTATATGAAATGTTAAAGGGACTTATCTAAGTAAAAGAAGATCAAAACTATGAACAGTAAAATAACCAAAAAGTCACAATTATCAACAACTGAACCTAAAAAAAAAAAGAAAAAAGCAAAAGCAAACTAAGCAAACAAATAGAACAGGAACATAATCATAGAAAGGGAGAGCAGAGGGGAGGGAGAGGGGGAAGAATCGGGGGAAAGGTAAAGGGAATAAGCAGCATAAATAGGGACAAAATAGACAGGAGGAGGTTAAGAATAGTATAGGAAATGGAGAAGCCAAACAATGTATATGTACGACCCATGGACATGAACTAAGCGGGGAGGGAATTCTGCGGGGAGGGATGGTGCAGGGCTAAGGAGAATAAAGGGGAGGAAAAAAATGGGACAACAGTAATAGCACAATCAATAAAATATATATTAAAAAAAAGAGAAATACTCGAAGTCATGAAAAGCAGCCAAGATTGCTCCACCCAGCAAAGATATCACTTAGAATCAAAGGGCAGATAAAGACTTTCCCAGACAAGAAAAAAACTAAAGGAATTCATCATCACCAAACTATTGTTATATGAATTGTTAAAGGGACTTATATAAGAAAAACAGGAAGATCAAGCTATGAATAATAAAATGGCAATCTATATGTACCTTTCAACAATTGAATCTGAAAAAATAAGGAAACAAGAAGAACAGAGACAGAATCAAGGAGACAGAGTGTTTTGATGAATGCCAGATGGTAGGGGGTGTGCGGAAATGGGTGGAGCGGTGAGGGGACTAAGAAGTCCACGTTGGTAGCTACAGAACAGCCATGGGGCTGTAAAGTACGGTATAGGAAATAGAGTAGCCAAAGGACTTATATACATGACGCATGCGCATGAACAGTGGTGTGGGGACTGCCTGAGGGAGTGGGGGGTGCTGGGTGGAAGGGAGCAAAGGGGGAAAAATTGGAACATCTATAATAGCACAATCAATAAAATATAATTTTTTTAAAAAAAGGGAAAAAAGAAAAATTATAAAACTCAACATGGAAGTTTGCAGTAAATGCCAGTCAACTATAATTTGGTCAATGCTGTCTTTTTTCTACTTATCACTTTCTCAATGCCTAGTTGATACGTCTCAAATTATGTGCTTTCTTGTTGTTTCATAGTTTTATGCAATCATGTGAATCGTTTAACCTTATTCTCAGGGAAATTTGACAACAAACCAAACTTTTACTGAAATACTAATTTATATTGTCAAAATACTTAATTTAATTTTCACCCATCAAATTTTCTTTAATTTTTCTTTTGCTCTAACTTCATAAATACATGATTTCAGCTACTTTATGAATGTTTCTCTAGTAGAAGACACATATGTTTCCCCTCAAATTGTCAAGGGGATGGCATTTTGGCATTGCAGATAAGTTTAGTTTTATAATGATTTGAATTCCCAAATCATAATGTATATAAAATAGCTCTTCAAAACTAAAAATATGTCACAAATCCAAGCTTATTCAGGCCAGTTTATAAAGTCTTAAAAGTTCAAAAGTTGTTTATTTCTCTTTTTTTTAAAGATTTTATTTAGTTTTAGAGAGAAGAGAAAGAGAGGGAGAGGAACATCAACTGGGTGCCTCTCGCACGCACTTTGACCGTGGACCTAACTTGCAGGCTAGGCCTGTGCTCTGACCAGAATTGAACAGGTGACCTTTCGTCCCGGGAACGAAAGGCTTCTGAATCATCCAAATAGTTTCAGTGGGGGAATGTTCAAGTGAGCCATACCAGTCAGGGCTAAAAAGGTGCTTCTTCATCAAAAATCTAGAGTAATTAGGAAAAACATCTAAATAAACTGTTAATATATTATACTTTTACTGAAGGTCATTTTATTTGGATAGATTGTGTCGGATATTACTTTGACTAATCATAGCTTTCTCTATAGGCTTATATAAGAAAACAGGTAAATTGGTATTTCTTGGATTGGATAATGCGGGAAAAACAACATTGCTACACATGCTAAAAGATGACAGACTTGGACAACACGTTCCAACATTACATCCCAGTAAGTATATTCCCCCATACGATGTTGTTATTTTATCAGGTGATACTGATTCATAGATGCTAACCAAATGCTTTTTTGTTTGGGTTTTTTTTGTTGTTGTTGACTAAATTATAATCAGGTGATTTGACCTGTTTTTAAATAGTAAGTTATAGGTGACCCAACTCCTAGGGAGTATGTTTAAATCTTGAAACAGTATTCATATATTCTGATCAGTTAGCACACCTTCTCCAGCTAGAGGAGTTAAAGTTACTGTCTCAGGGATAGATCATGACACGATTGAGGTCTGTCCAACCAGATGGTACTTAGGCTGTGTAAGCCACCATAACCTTGGTGACGCGAATAATGACTTAATACATATTGTCCTGAATATAAGGCTGTGTAATAGGTACCTTTTGGGAAAGTAAACTGACAAAGTTATTCCAAAGAAGCCAAAATTATAAATAGCTGAAACCTCACTTTTACTGTTGAAAGGCTATGAGTCAAGTAGACACAGAGTTTAAAAGGCACTTTAATCCACAGATTGATTATGAAATAATGAGGGTGGCCTTAATGATAAGTATAAAATTGAGAACTGGCCCCAAAAATAGTTATCTAGGAAGATTTCGTAAAATTGACAAATCTTTTTTTATATTAGGAGAAGAGAGTGGGGCTTGGCAAATAAGATTGTGATACGAGAACAATACTGTTAAAGAAAAAATGACCATGATGAAATTGAGTTTATACAATTGTCTGCAAAAAAAGGGAGAATTGGAAGAGACTATATTAGGTGTAAGTCATTTAAAGTTTTTGATGTTGTGCTCTTGTATCCAACAAATATTTATTGAGCACCTACTTTATGCCAGACATTGTTCTAAGTACTAGGAGTAAAAGCAATGGCACAAAACAGTTGCTATCTCAGCCTTCCTACAGCTCACATTCATTTCAATTCATATTTTTCAGTTAATCAAAAGTATATGTGAAAGAAGTAACATGTATCTACCCTATTATCTGGCAGTTCCACTACTAGGTATTTATTTAAGAAAAATGAAAACATATGTTCACCAAAATCCTTGTTCAGGAGTGCTTATAGCAGCTTTATTGGTAATAGACAAAAGGGGAAACATCTCAGAAGTTCATCAAAAAAAAAAAAAGAATGAGTAAACAATGGAATTCTACTCAACAAGAAAGAGGAATAAACTCCTGATACATACTAATACACATTATACTGCATGGAAGAAGCTGGTCACACAAAAAATTACATGCTGTATTTTTTTTATACTATTTATATGAAATTCTAGAACAGGCAAAACTAGCCTGCGGTGACAGAATTCAGATGAGTCGTTTCTGGGAGTGGAGGTGGGGACCGACCAGGAAGGGGCTGGGGCGACTTTCCTGGGATGTTACCAATGTTCTGTGTCTTAATTAATCAACCTGGGACTTTTTAAATAAATCAGGGAGTGTAACCATAGAGGTATTTTGAAAACCACATCCAAGCATCATCTTTTCCACATGGAAAGGAACACACTGTGACCACGAATTGCATTAATTATTTATTCATTTGGCACAGTATGTACAGAATTTTTAACAAGATAAACAGCTCTAGGGCCTTAGCAGTTACTGACTAGTAAACAATCACAGTGAACCTTTCATTGTATTGTAGCAGACTTCTGCTTTTGGCCATGAGGGAGTAACAGAGTCTGGAATTACCTTCCAACTGTTAACAAGTAAGAAACTGGACAAAAATGTACACTGCAACTGTTTCCAGATATTGGACACTAGTTAGCCTATGACAGTGGTTCCTGACAGAAGGAAAGCAAACCCTTCTCTAGTCAAGCTTTATCACGGGATAACTTTCAGACCATGGTGCAGGAGAGGAAACCCGAACATAACCTGGAAGTCTTGCCAAGTTTAGGAGACCGAGGCCAGAATTTGGAGAGGCGGAGGTGGCTAGCCTTTGCTGGGCAAGAGTACCAGAGGAAGGAGCTCTGCAGAGAAAGAACTCCAGAAATTTCTGTGGCTGAATACCCATCTGTGCACGCATAGGGTAAAACTCCACATGGCCAAAGAATAGTTTCTGGAGGAGGGATTCTAGCAGAGCTGTTAGCCAGATAGTTCCAGGTGCTCACATGGCCCCAGGAATCATTCATGTTCCCATCAGCCAGAATGGAGAGATCTGGTTGGACACACAGGACATTGAATAGAAGCTCCAAAAGGATCAGACCTTGACCTTAGTAACGGATTAAAGGAGCCTCAAAGGAAAGGCTACTTTAGATCTGCCCTAACAAAGCTTCAAAGCTGATCCATGATCAATTTAACTGCCTGCCAGAATAAAGGCCACTTTCTTCAAAAGAATAAAACAAAATCTACCATCCAATCAAAAAATTATTAGACATGCAAAAAAGCAGAAAAGTATAATCCATATCCAGGAGAAAAATCAGTAGAAACAGATCCAGAAGTGACAAAGATGATGAAATTAGCAGATAAGAAAATTTAAGCAGCTGTACCGAGTGTGCTCAAGTATTTAAGGAAAACATGAACATAATGAGAGAAACAAAAGATATAAAAGAACCAAGTAGAACTTCTAGAAATAAAAATAGAATATCTGAAATGAAATTTTCACGGGATAAGATTAGCTGCAAATTAGTGCCAGGGCAGCAGGAGGAAAGGCTGGTGAACTCAAGTCAATGCACTAGAAGCAGAAGGTGAAGCACAGGGGAAAAATGACTGGGAGAAAACGAACGGAGCCTCAGTCGCTTGTGGGACAATGTCAAGCCATCGAGCAGACCTATTATTGAAGTCCCAGGAGGAGAAGGTAGGGAGCGGGAAAAATATTTGGAGAAATAATGGCCAACTGTTTTTTATTATAATTGTGTTTGTCATTAAAAACTGTCTCCTGTAAAATCTGACAGCCATGAGAGAAAATTGTGTATTTTACCTGTATCATTTAAGCTGACTTGCAGGAAAAATTATTAGGTTGGAGAAGTCACTTGAATTCACAAAAAATAATTGTCTGAATAGATTTCCAGCTGGAGAAATAGAGAAGGAAAAATAAGCAAGTGATGGGTTCGTGGTAGGTAGTAAGCAGTAGAATTGAATGTTACCATTACTGGTGCCGCATTGTCAATATGAATTGGAGTATATCTAATTCCAACAAAGAACTCTTTTATTAGTTCCTAAATGTTTGATTTGACCTTAATTGCAGTTAAAATAAGTCAAATATTAACTGATATATACCATGAATGGATTTCTGATTTTCATGTCATAAAAATATATTTTATTAATTAGCTTCCGAGGAACTAACCATAGCTGGCATGACCTTTACAACTTTTGATCTGGGAGGACACGTTCAAGGTAAGATTCTATTACTCTTATAGTAGCTTTATTTCAACTTAAAAATGTGACCAGTATGTTCCAGTGCATGAAATCTCATTCTACTCAAGGAAGGCAGAATACACTTAAAATTTAGGAGTTATTACCACAGATAAATGTTTTAAAAGCAAAGGGTGATTTTTCATGATACTCCAGGTCAATTTAAGTCTGAGTTGCTTTTGGTGTGAAACAAGTGGGTAAAACTGAGCCTCCATCCTCTCTCTGCCCTAATCCACGCCTCACTTACTGTCATAATCGTGTGATGAATGTGACTGGTCTGTATGGAGAGCCTTCACCGGCTAAATCTTTACCTACAAATTAAAGGCCAGACCCGTAGATTTGGCATTTTGGATCTCTGCGATCTGATTTCAGTGTACCTTTCAAGGCCTTATTTCCCACTCTCCCCCTTGCCATTCTCTTTACTCCAACCAAACCGAACCCCCCCCCCCCCGTGTCCTCCCACCTCTGTGCTCATGCCACCGCCATCTGCACATGAGTGGCCCCCCTGTAGGGCCCGGGGTGAGGGCTGCTGCCGTCCCCGGGAGCTGCTTCCAGCCGGGAGTGCTCCCTACTGCGCTTCCACAGCTCTCTGGGCGCTTGCGTGCATGTCTGCAAGTTTGGAAAGACTGTCTTGTCTGCTCTCCTAGACTTTCTGGGACTGAAATCCTGTTCACCTTTATATCCCCAAAAGGATTTGGCAGTACCCAGCACATAATTCACAAATGAAGACTAGTACGAAGTTGGTGGGCATTCTAAAAACCTCATGACAGATAGTTGGAAAGATTTCAAGTGGCTGTGGCTGGTAAAAGCACATTTGAGACATATGATTGTTTGAAATCACATAAAGTAAATTCTGGAATATAATGATTAGAGGGAGTGAGATCCTAATGAAGCTCATCTGAGACTTCATTTCTATATTGTTTTTAAGATATGTCATAAAACTGAAGTCAGAGAAAAAAGGTCTTTTCCTCTGGGGTATTCCAAAAACTCTTTTCTCCTCTAGAAAAGGATGTCATAGAAGACACTACCCAAATGGTGTTATAGACTTTAATTTCTGTTATGAATTGAACAGTTTGCTTTTATTATTTTAAGTCTGTACCTCGTGCTGATTTCCTTCTGCCACTGACTCCAAATTTACCACTGGCAAAAAACAAACAAAAAAAATTGATAAGCTAGAAATGTCAAAAAATGACTACTGCACATGAAAATAGTAGCAGTTCTCTAATGAACTTCACAGCATCGTTGTCCCGTGGTAATGGAGGAATTCTACTTCTAACATGGGGGGCTTGGGGCAGAGTAAAGCATTGACTTGCCCACAGCCAAAGAAAGCCTGACATTTCGTCTTCTGGAAAGATCTTGGCAACACTGGGTAAAAGATTAACTTGAGTATAGAGTGAAGTAGCAGCAACTAAGGGATAATTACATTTGATATCTTATTGGACTTTCATCAAACCACCTACTAGCTTTGACCAGCAAATGAAATCTAACTCCTGATTGTTTTTGTTAGCTCGAAGAGTGTGGAAAAACTACCTTCCTGCTATCAATGGCATTGTATTTCTGGTGGATTGTGCAGACCATGAAAGGCTGTTAGAATCAAAAGAAGAACTTGATGTAAGTTAAATAATTAAAACGACACATAGTTGAATTGCTAGGAAGCCCGAGAAAACAGGCCGGCGGTCCAGGTGTCAGAGCGCAGCCCTCCCGCAGCCTCAGATGTGGCTCCCGGCAGCTTGTGGGGCTCAGTGGCTCCTGGAGCTCAGAGGAAGCAGCTGCTGAGGAAGTGCCCCCGCAGACTTCCTTCCTGAAGCCTTGCGCTCCCTGTGCAGTGTGCCCTGGTGGTATGTTCCATGGCTGCTCCGTTCCTGGAGTGACCTGACCTTGAGTTCCTGGTCATACTAAGATGCTGGTTTCTTAAGGAGCTGGCCAGAACCTGGAAATGCTGTAACATACTGTCTTTGTCGCTTCTCCCGGGAATGAGCAGGGCCATGCATAGCCTCTTCCCCTAGATCAGATGCTTCTTACAGGGGCTCAGGAGCAGCGGGCAAGGCCAGCGCTAGATCTAGGACCTCAGAGCGCAGATCCATGATTGGTCTGGAGGCTGGCCTGCCCGTGCCTCTGCCCAGAACATGTGCACAGGTACTAGTTCATGTGAAAAAGTTCAGGTAGGTTCTGTGGTCATGAAACAGGGTCAGGGAATTCCCGAGTTGCTACCTTATGCCACACACTACGCGAATTACCTCACTTAATTCTAATTCTCAAATCAGCTCCGTAATGTAGGTGCTACTACTCTCAATTCTCTTTGAACTTCAGTGAGACCTATTTGTCCAAGATCTCACAAATCAGACGCAGCAGAACTAGAAATGAAACCAGTCTGCCCATTTTCCAGGCGTTGGCTCTGGTCCCTGTACCTCGCTGATTCACAGAGCAAGCAGTGTGAGCATCTACAGAAGGAGCCTTAGGGAGACAGAAGAATTGAGCTGATGGGTTCATTGAGCTCCCTTTAAATGGAGGAAAAGTTTGCCAAAGAAAGTTGGCAAAACTGACATGTTGTGATAGAGAGCAAGTCCTTGGTACCCATTGGATATCTTGTCAAAATAAGCTCTTCAGATGGTTTCATATTGACATTTTGTGTTTCTTTTTGTTTTTATTTTTTTTTCCAGTCACTAATGACAGATGAGACCATTGCTAATGTGCCTATACTAATTTTTGGGAATAAGATCGACAGACCTGAAGCCATCAGTGAAGAGAGGTTACGAGAGATGTTTGGTTTATATGGTCAGACAACAGGGAAGGTAAAAAAAAATTTGGCAAGTGTGAATATTTCATTCAACAGTATATTTTTATCTTCTGAAATAGTTTATTTCAGCCGCTAACAGTAGTCCTGTTATTAGTCTAATTGGTACAGTCTGGCTACATTGGTTTTTTTTTTTTAATTAAAGTATAACTGACATATAACATTGTTAGTTTCATGTGTACAACAAAATGTGTTTTCACATTACTATTGTCCAACTCCAAAAGCCCATTGTCTTTTTTTTTTTCTTAAAAATTATCATTTACTCAACATCACTCATCATCAGGGAAATCAAAACCATAAGCACACCAGTCAAAGTGGCTGTTATAAGAAAGTTAACAAATAACATGTGCTGGCCAGGAAGTGGAGGAAAGGGAGCCCGTGGGCACTGTCGGCGGGATTGTTAACTGGTGCAGCCACTGTGGACAAGGGCACAGAGCTTCCTCAGAAAGAGTAAGAATAGAACTACAGTATGACCCAGCAATTCCACTTCTGGGTATTTATCTTAATTAGTCGAAAACACTCATTAGAAGAGATATTTGCACTCCTGTTCTCAGTGTGTATGTGTTAGGCAGCAATAAAGACATTTTGCCAGTTGCAACAACATGGATGAACTTAGAGGACACTGTGCTAAGTGAAATAAATCAGAGTAAGACAACTATTGTATGGTTTGACTTACATGTGGAATCTAAAAAAAGAAACAAAGCAAACAAACAAAACAAAGCAGACACACTCATAGGAACTCAGCAGCCATAGGGGTGGTTGCTGAGGGCAAGGGGCCGGGGATGGGTGAAGAAGGCGAAGGGGAGCGCGGCCAGCAACACTGTGCCAGGCTTGCACGGTGGCAGAGGGCCGCTCGGGTCGGTGGGGGGATCACAGGGTGAGGTATGAAAATGCTGAGTCACTGTATTGTACGCCTGAGACTAATGTAACTAATATAATACTATGTACCACCTATACTTAAAATACCTGTCATTTATACATTTTGGCTTTTTAAATGTCCTCGCTTGTTTTCTTTATACCACTGAATTAGACCTTCTCTTGGTGAAAAAAATGTTAAAGCTCATTTATAAGAAATTAAATGAAAGCTTTCAAAATTTTTTAAAAATAAATGTTCAGAAGTAACCACCAAATAATACACTTGAGTGTTTAAACACATTAGTAGTGTGTTTAGGCCCCCAGCTCAGTGTTAAGGCCCTGAATTCACCAGAGGTAAAAATAGAACGTAAGTAAACTTGGAAATAGGAGTGCGTTGAGGTTTGAACATACACTTAATAAAGATGCAATTTTTTGCACTTATTCCTACTGGGATTTGTTTGGAAGAGGGACTTTTAATAATTCAATTCCATATTAATTTTAGGAAGTGCCTTGTTTTTTCATAAAACCTACTCAGAGAATATTTATCCTTAATATGTGTGAAGCCTGTTGGAGGAGCTTGAGTTTTTCCTCAGTCAGTCAACGACTGTTTCCATCCTGCGTGCGGCCCGCGCCACCCCTTTCCCACCCTGTCCCGGAGCTGAGCACGAGGGCTCAGTGCCAGCTGCGGCTTTATCGCAGTCGCCTGTGGGTCTGAGATAGCTAAACCGCCATTCTGCTGGAGAGTGGGATTTTTATTTCACACAGGGTCTGCAGCGTAATGTCTGTCTTCTCTCCTAGGGCAACGTGCCTCTGAAAGAACTGAACGCGCGGCCCTTAGAAGTTTTCATGTGCAGCGTGCTCAAAAGGCAGGGCTACGGAGAAGGCTTCCGCTGGATGGCGCAGTACATCGACTAGCGGCCGCCGCGGCCCGCGCCGGCCTCGCCGCTCAGGCCTGCTCAGAGATTTGATTGTGAACATGCATAACTTGAATTCAATAGACTTTCGTTGGTTAGAAAACAGATATTTTTAGATTATTAATATTATATCAACTTAATTTGAGTGAGAATTAAAAACTGATTCAAATAAGTTTGACTATCACAATGTTAGCTTTCTAATTCCATGAAGATAATTAGTTTTTACACTTTGTAATCTGACATGACCCCCAGCGCCATTTATAAAGAGCAACTTTCCAACAGGACATTTGAAGCACTTTTTAACAGTATGAAACTACAAATATAAACCATAATTAAAAGCTCATCATGTTAAATTTTTTATGTACTTTTTGGAACTAGTTTTTCAATTTTAGATTATATACGCCCACCTATCCTGAGTGTACGGTTAATAATTAGCTTATTGATGATTGCATGATGCCTTACAGGTTTCAATATTTTTTTCTTATGCAAACATCATGCAATAAAACAGACCCTCATGTTTGGCATCGCCATTGGGCAGATGTTCCGTTTTAATGTCTGACCTAGCTGGTGTGCTCTGAAACTTCGAATGTGTACATTATACATATGAGGTGGTTGTTGGGAAAGAAGACTGCTTCAGAATATTTAAGATAATGTTTCAGTCCCTAGAGACTTTCGCATTTACCAGGAGACAAGTTGTGCCTGGTTGTACCTTATACCACATTTATCTCTCGATCCTGTGTATTTTTATCATAACACTGCCGTTCCCAGGACCAGTAGGGCCCACGTCCTAGTCCCTGTGCGACTGGCCTTCCGAAGAAACACACCTCTCCCGGTGCAACACGCGGCTGACTCCCGGTTTGCTAGGCCCCGGCCGCTCCACTCCGGTTGTCTAGCTCTGAAGTGCTCTGATCTTACCGGTGCCTGGTCTGGTCATCTCTGCCTCGTCACCAAACATAGTGACAGGCAGCAGTCTCCCCACATTTAGAGCTATTCCCCAGTCTCTTTACACTTCATGGCGCTTCCCAGGCAAGTGACAAGTAGGGTCTTGTGCGGTTCTTTGTGGGGCCTGCGGATCTGAGGGCAAAGAAAGCCTGTCCTGCTTCAGCGGTCACTGAGGTCGTGGGGGTTCTGCTCCTGTCTAAACCTCTTTTGCATTCTTTGCCATGTTTCATTTCTTGGAAAGAAAATGTTTCATTGTGTTTCATTTTCCTTTTTCTCAGTTGTCCTCAGCCAGCTGGTACGCCACGGCACAAAGGCTGTCATTTATCCACGCAGTGCTTGTCATGCGACAGTGTTCCTGAGCCTCAGGGATGGACTCACTGATAAACTTTGGGTTAGCTTTCTAAAACATTTTAATTTCCTAAAAAAAATTTCTTTTTTCCACTTAAGATTCCCCTAATTAGTAAAATAAGATGAAAGATCAGTGCCAAATATGCTTCTTTAAAGACTCTCAAGCTTAAGATTTTCCTGTTGGTTTTAAGCCAAGATTTTACAGTATATTTAACCAATTGCATTGAGAATAGATTTGCTCCAGTGCCATCCAGAATAATTTAAATATTAAAGTTAGTATTTTCTCTAGCCATTGTCCAAATCAGTGCTACAGTCCCCTCGGCAGGGACAGGCGGTAGGAGGCAGACGAGGACAGAGGGCAGTGACTGGAAGGGGCCGCCAGCGAGCCAGACCCCCAGGGCCATTTCCGAGCGTAGCATGTGGGTGTCGCAACTTGGCCGTTCCTTGTCACTTTCAGCTTCCTCCTTGCTTAGAAACTTGAGGAGCACCATGGGAAAAGTAGGGAATGACCTTTCAGCCTGTTGGTTTATTTTGCCAGATATGTTTAAAGTCCTCATTTCTGATGTCCTGGCTACACAGAACCATGCCTTATTAAAAGGAACTGCCTCTTGTTGACGGAATGTTTCTTCAGTTGAAGTGTTATTTCCTAATATCTATTGTGATACTGGAGAAGTTAACTACTTGTCTCATAAATTGGTATAAAGGAAAAAGTTCACTCGTTTCTCTAGAGGGGAAAAAATGCTCTTGGTACAAACTGTCTTGCTCCAGAATTCTCATTCTGGTTTGGCCCCTGGGATCAAAGAAACAGACTCACTCTGTGGACCGTGTCTGAACTCTGAGCATTTTCCCAATGCTGTGAGATTCTTGCGGCCTGAACCTCTAGTGAAAAGCTGCCTTTAGCGGCCACCGTCTGTCCTCCCAGCGCCAGGGACACAGGCGTGCAGCGTCCCCAGCCGGCGGCCCTCCCCCAGCTGCGCAGCCATTCTGGCGCTCGCCCTGGGCCCTTGGCCCTGCGGAAGGGCGGCCGGAGCACTTGGGGACCGCGTTCTGCCTGTGCCTGTGCAGGTGTGCACACCTGGGGGGTATCTGCGGGTAGATGGTCCTGTTGGGGGTACAGGCTGACTTTGTACCTCCACGGTAAGGCATGAAAATACAATTGTTAACACTTGCATGCAGGTTAAGATTGGGTATCATATAAATCAGGCACGGTCCAAAAGATGTTTTAAAATCTTAATTCCAAAGCTAAAAATACAAAGTCTTAGCCCACTTTTATGTTTCTAAAGAGATTCTTAACCCCACACCTATTTCAGTGACTGCTGTTCATTATACTTTTGGGTAACTGGTTAAATTGATGGATTGCAGTTTGTCTTGATCTCAGTGAATTTTGAGTGGAGAGGATAGCATTTTTTAATTGGGGCGTCGACATTTCCTAAAGCACAGTCGGACCCCTTATGCCCCAGGAGATAAGTTCCAAGACTGCGCTGGGGTGCCTGGAAGCGCAGGCAGCACTGAACCCTATACACTGTGGGGGGTTTCTGCTCTACATATATGCCTTCTCACTGTCAGAAGGCACTTTATGGCTCCCCTTTGGCATATCTGAGTGCCAGCACCGTCACTCGCGCACGGGGCCGTTCGTTGTTCAGTAAAAAAGGGTTCCTAGGCCCGCGGCGGAGGGAACGGCAGGCAGGGGCGTGCGCAGAGTGGACGCCCAGGACGGGGGCCAGTTCCTGTCCGGGGGGAGCAGCGCGGGCCATGCGGGATTCCATCACGTTACTTTACTCAGAATGGCACACAATTTAAAATTTGTGAATTTTTTATTTTTGGAATTTTCTACGTAATATTTTTGATCATGGTTGGCCGCAGGCACCTGAGACCTCAGAAAGTGGAACTGCGGGCCAGAGGAGAGACTACCGTCTGTGAGAAAGCGTCCTTTACAGTTGCTCAGTTAGCCCGGGGTCTCCGAGAGCCAAAGACGTATGGGTTCGGATAGCGCCTGCATAGATCTACATTTTAGTTTCGTGTGCCTATGTACTGTGGTTTACAACATAAGCAGAACATTGTTTTTCTTAGTTTTCAGGTGGCTCCCACTTCTCTGTAGTGCTTTCCAGTACATAAACTACGTGTAAGTCATTAAAATAGGATAATAGCTGTGGTAATAGTGTGTCTTGCCATCTGCAAGATGATTTGACAGACCACATTCAAAATCCAGCATTTTCCCAAATTCCACCATTAAAAGCTATACTTTTATATCAGTGTTTTTTTTAATCTCTCTCTCTCTAAAAATCAATAAACATATCCTCTGGTGAGGATTAAAAAACAAAAAAACAAAACCAGTACACTTCTTAGTTGACATGATTTGAGAGATTCAGCAGAAAGGTTCACGTTTTGTGAAACTATTCGGTATGTGACTCAGTGGAGCAGTTCAGTCTTGTTAGTCACATGACTGAAGTTTGCACGGATTTATTGCCAAATAAATTTTGACTGTAGTGTACTGATAATAGCTCATATACAGGAAAGTCTCTCAAAATAGTCTTGTGTTCATCGTCTTTAGAGGGTAATGTTTGGATCATTTGAAACATATGTAAAAGTTGGTGAAGCCGCACAGAAATCTCCAAGAAAGCATGAAAAATAGAGATTAGCTAATACAAATTCATTGAAAATTAATAGAAAGTTAAAGGTATTCTATAAGCCTTTGCTATTTTGCTATAAGTATGGATTCAGAAAACAACATATCTTCAATGAAGGACTAAATTCTTAAAGCTACATGTTGATGCTTCTAGTTATTTCCTTCATTGCCCTTCTTTTGAAATGGAGATTAGTGCTTTGTAACCAAATAATGAAAAAGGAAAAGAATGAGCTCTTGTAATAGGGGACTGTGCCTCTGTGTAAAGTGACTGATTTTGTTAAAACCATGTTTGCGGTCCTGAACCCTCACACACACCCCTACCGCACACCTGGACAAAAAGACCCCCAAGTATGAAGGGAATCGGCAGTAATCGAAGACAGTTCTGAACCAACTACTTTTTGTCTTTGTAATGTAGGATATTGGGTAGCTAATATATGTAAGACCACTGATGGGTTGTTCGGGGCTTTGACTGCACTTTTAAATAGAATCCAAAGTAATCAGTCAAGAAAGCAAATTTATGCAAAGTCCACTTTGTTTCAGGAGTGCTCTCGCCTCAGATAGAGTGTAGGGCAGAAATGGGAGAGGCTTGTTGTGATTTTACACAGAACTATTTTTGGAAAAGCTACACTGGAGTGGATGAATTCTTAAGCATGTACTTCAAATAGGGGAGGGGGGATTAGGTTTAATGTTAGTTTAAAAAATTTGGAGGTAAGCGCTGGCTGGTTTGGCTCAGTTGGTTGGAGTGTCATTCTGTAAACCAGAAGGTTGCAGGTTCGATTCCTGGTCAGGGCACATGCCTGCGTTGTGGGCTTGTCCCCAGTCAGGGTGAGTTCAAAAGGCAACTGATCAATGTTTCTCTCTCTCTCTCTCTCTCTCTCTCCCCCCCCCTCCCCTCTCTCTAAAAAAAAAAAAAATCACAGACCATGTCCTCAGGTGAGGATAAAAAAAAAATTTCTTTGGAGATAAAAAAAATGTGTCTAAAAAATGGGGGGAGAGTAAAAGGGGGTGACAGTTCTACTGTGTGTAATGTACAAGTTGTCCTTGGAATGTTTTTCTTTATCAACTGTAAGGAGCCACATCAGGAGGGCCAACTCTGCGCGGGTTCCTGTGTTCCCTGGTGCTGCTCCTCACTGAACACAGTCGGCTGCCGAACCGAGGCGAGAGCGCTCAGGCTAAACGTAGTCAAGTGACTTTATAAGGGATCGAAGTGTTTTCCATGATAAGGCCTCCAGTATTTGGCTACATGCAGAGTATGCTGAAGCGGTAAGGTGGTGATAAGGTTTCATCACTAACCCTGTTTGCACTTTGCACACTGCTTGCACGAGCATCTTAGTGTAAATTTTAACCATTGTTTTACAGTATATACAGATTGTTAAGCATAATTTATATAAAGATGTTTCTGTTTACCTTTATGTATTTTACAAAGAACTATCAATACAATAGATGGTAAATGTTCTTGGATTGTGTTTGTATGTTATTTTTATTATGGTCTATTATCCCTTCACCCCCTATGAACTTGACTGTCAGGAACAGAAAAATAAAACACTAACTGGTCTTTGAAAAACTCTAGTTATCAAGATCCACTTTAATCATCCCATTGCAATTTTTGTTTTACTCATTAGACTTTGAAATTATGAAGATAATAGCACTCGCCCTTTGTACAAGGGCTCCAAGGCAACTCCGCTCAGGTGCCAAGGCTCAGTTTGCCCTGGGAGGCTGACAGCAGCTCTGGGCAAACTGCAGCCGGACCCCCACAACACTGACGCCGTTGAAATGTGAAAAGTAAGGCAACCCGTTGGCTCTGTCTGCGTCAAGGTTCTGTAGCTCTAGAGCGCATCAGAACCGCCTGGGGAGCGCACGCACTCTCTCCCGCCAAAGGCTGCGCTTCAGTAGGTATGGGCTGGGGGCAGAGGGCAGGAACCTGAATCTGGAACGAGCCTCTCGGGTTTTCTGGGGCCAGGGTGGGTTTTTCATTCAGGAGAAGCAGTGACATAACAATACTAAAGACTAATAACACTAAATGATCATTAGCAATCAGTGAAGACGAACATCATTTTGGTAATGATTATCAAAAGCTACCTTTGAGACTTAAATGCAAATATCAAACCTCTCTGAGGTCATCAGTTAGCCTCCCCACAAAGCACGTGCAGCGTGGCAGCGAGCGGCGTGCCAGCTCCCCCCGTGGAGCCCACCGCTCCGCTCGTTCTGCTACGGTTGGGTCCGCCACAGAGGGACTTACCTGCGGACTCAGGCTCTTCGCGGAACTGAAACTAAGTCAATAGAAATAGTCATTGCACGGAGGGACAAACGCTGAGAAAAGTCCAGTTTATTTAGTTCATTTTTTTTATCTCCGTAATCGTCAACTAGACTATCTGACACTTGTACCAAAGGTACCAGTAATGCAAGTGACAACCCACAGCAGAGTAGGAGAAGCACCTTGTTGGGAAACGGGGACCCTTCCTAGGAAACGCTGAAAATGGAGCCCTTGTAAATGCGGCCCTTAGGGTGCCGGCCACCACCCCCCTCTTTGAAAGGTAAGAACAGCAGCTTAGAAACCTGATGATTAAAGACAGAAGGCCTCAAACAAAACAAAGTCCCCCAACAAGGCCCTGTTTTTGCCACGTCTCTCATACAGGCCTCCACTGGGGACTCAGTTAACTGACAAAGGTCAGGGCCTCTGTTTACAAAGCCTCTTATCTCCGTTTATTTAAAATGAGACACCAAGTCTCAGTAATTTTCTGTCATTTACTAAACAAAGCAAGCCTTGCTTTGGAACGTGGAATTCGATTTGGGACATAATGGTGAACAATTGGAAATGTTTATTAAAGTCTCTGTGTCTTCAGAGATGGCAGTATGTCACTACAGACGAGCTGATAATGTCGCAAAAGGCAACCCTCAGTGAAAGGGCTTGGTTAATGGGTAACACATTCCTGCAGTCAAAACGCAACAAGGGGGAGAAATGACTGAAGGTGAGGTGTGGGCGGGCAGGGAGCGGGACACTTGCAGGTCAGAATGGAAATTTTTCTTCCCTGCTTTTTTGAGGTAAAAGGAACAAAATGTGAAATTCAGTGGAATTGTAGCCCCATTTCTTCTGGCATTAGCAACATCTCAGGCACTAGAGAGATGACAAATCATCATCGGGCACCAGTTTTAGGTTCTCGCCTAGGAAGGGCAAGGGTTGGGGCTGAAGTCTCTTTAGACCCACCTGGCAGTTGGCAAGCCGCACGGGACTGATCGCAGTCCGGGGAAGAGTCAGTCGGCTCTTCTCCACCCTAGGGACCTCCCTTTTGAGACCTAAATGGCCAAGAGCCCCTGTTTGAGTGAGGGACAGACCAGGCGTGCCCCAGCCCTGCTCTGGGCAGAGGCTGGTTTGTGGGGGGAGGCCTCTGTGGCAGGGACACAGCCCTGAAGGCGCCTAAGGGCGGCCTGGGGTGCGGCTTCCTCTCCTAACTGCGGGGCAGCAGGTGGCAGGGGCACCGCGCTATTTAGGGAATAGTCTGAGTTTTACTCCGCCCCAGCTTCTCTTTGAGGCCGGGCTGGGAATCAGCAGTCCTCTGGCAGTCGGGTGGCCGTGGGCCCTTTTGGATTCTCATGGGGCCTCAGGCTGCCTTCCTCCTCGGAGAAGCTGTGCCCTGAGGCTTCCAGTCACCTGATGCCTTTGCCACCCCTCCCAGTGCCAGTGCTGGGCTGGGCAAAGCAGGGGGCAGGGCCCCCAGTCACCAGGCGCTCTCTCTGTTCCTGTCTCTCACGCAAAGCCTTACCCACCCAGGAGACCGGCGGTTAGCACCAAGCGCTTACCGAGCGCTCTGCTGGTGCTGGGTTCAGGAGGGGCGCTCGCCTCACCTGCTGCCTGCCTTTCCCCGGTCGGTTAGCTGCTGCGGGCTGGCATGGCGTAAGGAAACACCGGCAGAAGGCTGCTGGGGGCGCTTTGGAAGGCAAAAAGAAAAGGCCCCCCTAGAAAGGGGACACCAGAGCTGAATCCTAAAGGAGTACAAACTGGTTAAGTGGAGAAGGGGCGAGAGAGGACATCCCGAGGAGCTGGGCCAGCGGGGACAAAGGCGTGGCCGAAGAGGGCCCAATGTGCCCTGCAGGCCGGCAGAGCCCGGAGCCAGCTGCGGGCCGGTGCGCAGGGCGTGTGGGAAGGCGCGCGAGTGGAGCGGAGGCCTGGACTGGGGAGGCGGCCAGCGAGCAGGGCTGCCCCGCCCCACAGGTCGGCCGTTTCTCCCCTGTAACGATGAGTACCTCGGTTCTCACGCCGATTCCAAAACCCGCGTTTTATGGCGCACGGCCGTGGTTTCCACGGCAAGGCACCGTAAGAGCCGGGGGTCCCCGGAGCAGCCCGCGCGTCGGGCCACGGGCAGGACCAGGCCTGCTGTTGGAAGGTGGCACCACAGGTACTGACGTGTGTTCTTCTCAAAATGCCCCACTGACCATTGCGCATGTGCACCGGACAGAGTGGCACAGACGAAGGGAATGACCAAAAGCCAAAACGAAACAAAGCCCCACACAAAAAAAACCTGAGATGTCCTAAATTAAATTACTGCAAGCCACAGGTAGGAAGGAAGAGACAGGAGGGGTTAGCCAACGACCACCGGGCAAAGCCAGCAAAAGGCTGCTCCCGTCCCTGCGCGCGTGTGGAAACTTGGAATCACCTGCCAGGTGGCTCTGTGCTTCTCCGAAGAACAGCCGAGGAACCGCCGCCGGAGCCACAGACCGCCCGCCCCTCCAGCCGCCCCGCGGCCCAGGGCTCCTCGCACCGACCCCAGGGCGCGCCCTGCCTCACCGTCCCCGCCCCACCGCCTTAATCTGTAGCCAATTCTTTCAAACAACTTACATCTCTCTCCCGCAGACTTGGGGCGTAAGGCGCCCGCCACCCCCAGGACGGCGGCCACGCTGTCTCCTCCACGCGGGCCTGCGGCTGGCGGCCCGGGCTGCGTGGCTCGGGACCGGGTTCATGTTCTGGCTGGCACGTGCCTTAATAAACCCTTTCTTGGAGGAAAGCTTTCACCTGGGGAGGCTTTTTCTTTGTGGTTTAACAGGGAAGATTCTGGTTTGCGTTAAAATTAAAACACAGGCTGAAGCTATTGAAACAGCCAGGATTGTCAACCTTCAAATCACCTGGCTGAGGCCAGCGGCGCGGGCGCCCTGCGGACACCGCTGGGGCAGGGGAGCTGGGACGGCACCTGTCCCCTCTTCCGCCCTTCTCTCCCCAAACCTCTGACCTGGGACTGGCTCTGCCTGCACAGTGTGGGGACCTGCGGTCCCTCCCAGCGAGCAGGGGAAGTGCAGCGGAAATAAAGGACTCAACTCCTAGCAAAGAGTTGAACTTGAAAAGTCCTGTGGGCAGGGTATCTGAACTCATCAAGTAGCCTCTCCGGACCGGACTTGATCTCTGTGGCCCCAGGGCCCAGGACCATTATGGCTGTAAATATCAAGTTTCAAGGAGACAACTGCAATTGAATTTAAGGAAGCTTTTCTTTGTTTTTGTTTTAGTTTTTTAACGCAGATGGCGTAGCACTGGGTTGCTTTCAAAATGACAGGCTCTCTGTCCCTGGCATGGAGACGGAGGCTGTCCTAGAGAGGGTAGCTGGGCACAAGCTTTCCTGCCGGCCCAGCCCTGAGGACGCGGGACTGATGGCGCAGGCGGGGCCGCCCGGTGCCCTCTCTTGACTGGAAGGAAGTGCCCCCAGAGGGGAGAGGGGGTCCCTACGATTTGAGCTGCTCCTCTGCCTCCTGATGCTGATGCTGCTGCTCCCCCTTTGACGGGAGCCCATTGTGAGTCTTACATCGGACGAGGCCTGGTCAGACCCGCCCCGCGGGCCGTGGTGCCAAGCCTCCCAGGCTTCCTTCTGTAAACCGATGGGCTCGACTATTACAGCTGGCCCGTGGAAGCAAGGCTGTGTACACCCGGCACCTGTCACCGGGATCAGGCGCTCACCCAGAGCCCCAGAATAGCAGTGCGGAGTACCTGCCGGGGAAGCTTGCTTTTGCTGAGTCACTCTTCCCCCTTGGCTCCCCTGCCTGGCTGCACTTCTGGCTTTTCTGCGGATCACAACATTCGATCCCTAGCAATGGAACATTCCTTCTTTGCAAAACGGGGGAGGGGGTGCAGACAGGAGAGATGTGCTCTTCAGCCGCCTCCAGGTTCTTGGGTTACAAGGGCTCAGGTGTACAGGAGGGCCCCAAGGAACCCAGAATGCTGCGAAGGCGGGTGTCCGGGGGCCCAGGCTGTTCGAGGCATCCCGTGAGCTGCTTCCCGCCTGAGCACCAGCTGTTTACCACCAGGGCAGGAAGGCACCCGAGAACTTGTAAACAACAGGGCCTCCAGCTCAGCTTCCAGGAAGTGTGGGTGCACAGGTCACGCCGGCTCCCACCTCCGGGCGCCGCCTTGAGAACTCTCTGCCTCTAGTGGCCTCTGGCGCCTTCCCTGGCTCCTCCTCTTGCCCACTGCACGC